AAGTAATAATAATAAAAAGTAATAATAAAAACCCAATTGGTACAAACGTTTTTGTTCCATGAAATCTTCTTTGTTCATTTCCTGCACTCATTTTACGTTTTCCGCCACCTTTTGGAAAATCCTTACCAGCCAATTTGTGATGATTTTCAACTTCATCACGATATACATTATACCGATTATTTAAATTTTCTGAACAAAAGATTTTCCATATAGCAGTAATTTCCGGTACCTCTTTATGAGGATGTTTCCAAGCAGCTGTAAATTGATTAGTTATATCTTTGTATTTTTGACCATCTGATGATAATCTCAACAAACATGGTACTAAAAAATCCCAATTTAAATATATTAATAATGTTCTTGTCGTTGTAAATGGACAAATGTAAAGCCGTGACTCAATTTACTAGAAAAATTTAAAATAAATATTTACCCATTGTTTTAATAATTACTTCACAACCATCAGAACAAAAGTCACTTCCTACTAATGCATTTTCCCCTTTACAATTTATACATATTTGGTCACTTCTTGGATTAATTAAACTTTGCTGGTTTGGTGTTTGATCTATGTAGTTTGTTGGGCTCCAAAGTGAAGAAGGGTTTGTTTCTGTTTCCTTTATATAATATAAAAATACATATTATATAATCTACCTTATATATATAAAAATAGTTATTTATTTATTTAATAATAACATTCAAAGTACCTTGTAATAGGGGTTTCGACAACTTTTCCAACCGCAAAATTGTGAATTGGAAACTTGTGGGCTTTCATTACATTGAGTACAAATAGCACTTTCAGAAACTGCAGCTTTTCGACACTCGTCACTACAATATTCACCAGGAAATCCATCAAGATCAGTATCGACTTTCTTGGATTTACAATTGTGACAAAATGCATCTTCTGGAGGCGGTTGTGAACTTTCTTCAAGTATAACATCAATACCATAATCTTCAAACTCCTGAGGAACTTTTGTAACATATTGAGACAGCACCCTCTTTAAACCATCAGCATTTTCGGCATTTATTGGAGGATTTGGTTCGTAACCAGGTATTGGTATTTGTAAATCTAGTGGTTCAACTTCTAAAGATATGTCATCGATTGGTGGATTGAATATGTGAGGGTTGTATGTTTGTTGTATTGGCGGGAATGGCTGTGAGTATGGTGTTTGTTGTATTGACGAGAATGGTTGTGAGTATGGTGTTTGTTGTATTGGCGAAAATGGTTGTGAATATGGTGGCTGTTGTATTGTCGAGAATGGTGGTTGATATTGTGGTTGTTGTATTGTCGAGAATGGTGGATATTGTGAATTTATGTATGGTTGTTGACCTTGATTTGTCTGAAGTGGTAGTAATGTATTTGGAACATATTGTGATGTTGGTGACTGTAAAATATTAACAGGTTGAGGTGTTTCTGGAAGTGGTTTCTAACGAGAATATTAATTAATTGACGAAAACGAAATAAAAAAAATTTTAAACTCCAAAAAAATAAAACACACATTATTATTAATATTACTATTATCACTATTATTATCACTACAGCAGTTTCCCATTATGAATTAGATCACTAATAGATTTCTACACATGGTTGGTGATACACGAATTAAGCCTTCTTCCCCTATAATAAATATGCAGAACTAACTTTAATTAAAATTAAATAAAATTTAATTGACGATTTTATCTATGAATGAGTGAACCCTAAATAGGGATCAGCAGAGGAAAAAATTACAAAATTAACTTACTAATTGATAACTCTGTATCAGTGTCTGAAATTGAGTGCGGGGTTTGTGTTACATATTGAATTTAGCCAATCAACGTTAAATTTTCTACCAGAAGGACAAATTTGATTGGCTAGATTCAATATATAACATAAACCCCTGCACTCAATTTCAGACACTGCTCTGTATCAGCGTAACTATTTAGTCATATGTTAGGTCAAGTTTAGTCAAGTTTAATCAAAATGATTATTACTAAATTAGGTTTTTAACCCCTTTACGCTGCCAGCCCTGCTTTGTATGCTATACTTTAGTAATATTTTTTTTATTTTACGTTATGTAACAAATGTTAAAGAACATTATGTATATATATATATATATTTTAAAGAATGAATATCGAAAAAGGGTCTACTCTTGTAGATGTAGAGATGCGCGAGATTTTTCATATATAGATGATTGACTGTCAATTAATTATTTTAACAATCAATTATTGATTGGTCGAAACTGTAAAGTATCAGCCCCTGTAACGTTTTATTTACTTTAGTCACTAAAATCCCTGAACCCATGTTCAGATCAAAAAAAATTTTTTTTTTATTACATGTATAATAATTTAAAAAAATGATTTCTTCTTTACTTTGGGTTCGCAAAGGTGCAGCAGCAGAAAAACCTGAAAAATATGAACTTGATGATAAAGAATTTGAAAGAATAAGTAAATTTCCTGAATTTAAACCAGAACTCATGAAAAAAATTGATAATGAATCAAAAGCAATGTAAATTCATTTCTATTTATGCATTTTAATTGTGTATAACGAATAAAAATCCAATATTTTATTTATTGATGATTAGAATTAAAGAAGAAGATGAAGAAATGAAGGATATTAAAATGATGGAGGAAGAAGGTAATGATGATGATGAACTGGCAGAATATAATTTAGATAAATATGATGATGATGATGATGATGATGATGATGATGATGATGAGGATAATGAAAATGGATCTTCTTCTAAAGGTATATTTATATATATGTTAGAAATATTTTAATATTTCAATACTAATACTGATATTGATGAATGGTAGGATTGTCAATATTTGGAAATGTAAAGGGATTGGCATATTATACTTCAAATAAAGAAGATCCTTATATAACTCTTAATGATGATGATGAGGTTAAATTTACATTTACTTTCTTTCCTTCTTTCATTCTTTCCTTCTATTCAATTATTATTATTGCAAATATAAAGAAATAATAATTGATTGATGAATTCTTTTTAAGGATGAAGATTCTGGTGATATAAGGATATTACCAACAGACAATTTATTAGTAGTAGCAAAAACTGAAGATGAATTATCCCATTTGGAAATTTGTGTATATGAAGAACTGGAAGACAATTTTTATGTACATCATGACATTATGATGCCATCATTTCCATTGTGTTTGGAGTGGTTGGATTTTAGATTGGGTAGTAAAGATGGATCTGGATCAACTGTTGATGCTCCTGGTAATTATATTGCTGTTGGAACATTTGAACCAGAGATAGAAATTTGGGATTTGGATACTATAGATTCAGTGTATCCTAATGCAATACTTGGTCTAAACGAAAATAAAAATAAAAATAAAAATGTTGATGGTGATAAAAAAAAGAAGAAAAAGAAGAATAAAAAGGATTCATCATCATCATCATCAAAGGAACCAAATTCTGAATATCATACTGATGCTGTTATTTCATTATCATGGAATAAAAATCATCGGTAATTTCAACTTTCTTGGATATCTTTTTTGGTTAAATTAAATAATTTTTTGTTAAACTTTTTTTTAAAAAAAATTCAAAGAAATATTCTTGCAAGCTCTTCAGCAGACACAACTATGAAATTATGGGATCTTCAATCATTGAAATGTGTACATTCATTCAATCATCATAAAGACAAAGTATAGTAATAATAATTTACACATTTTTAAAAATAATTTTTTCAAGGTTAATTTAAATTTTTTTCAAACTAAATTTTTAAAAAAGGTACAACAAGTGGAATGGCATCCAATTGAATCAACTATTTTACTTTCAGCATCATTTGATAAAACAGTCTCGGCATTTGATAGTAGATCACCAGATGTTATATCTTATTGGTCATTACATGACACAGAACCAGAATGTATAAAATGGGATCCATTATCGCCTAATAATTTTTATGTTAGTACAGAATCAGGATCTGTTTTAAATTATGATATAAGAAATCATAGTAATAGTATTGGTGATGCACAACAACAACCAGTATTTACATTACATGCTCATGATGGATCTTGTACAAGTATAGATTTAAATTACCAAATTAAAGGTTTATTAGTTACTGGATCAATTGATAAACAGGTTAAAATTTGGGATTGTAGTGACAACAAGCCTGTTTTGATTACTAGTAAAAATTTTGGTGTGGTAAGTAATTATTTTTATTTTTTTTTTGAAATTGAATATTTTTTTTCTATATAAAACAAAAATATATATAATCTTTTAAACTATTATCAACGTTATTATTTTAGGGAAAAATATTTTCAACTAAATTTTGTCCAGATTCAGCATATCAGTTGGCAATGGGTGGATCTGAAGGTAAAGTTTTCATATGGAACTTATTAACAAATTCAAGTGTAAGAAATTTCTTAAATTATGATAATATGATGAAAGAAAAAGATGATGATGACGAAAAAAATATTATTGATGCAAGTATTTTTTTGAATAAATAAATTTTTTTTTAAAGAAAATTTTATATAATAAATAACTTTGTCTAATTTTCTCTATTAAAAAATTTTTTTTTCAGAAAAATCCTATAACATTACCTAATGACGATGATAATGATGACGACGACGATGATGAGAATAATGACGCTAATTGGGAAGATATTGATAGTGATAGTGGTGATGATGTTTAAAAAAAAAACCAAAATAAATGGTTTTGAATTTTATTTATTAACTGATTATATATTATTTAATAAACAATAATGCAATTACAAATTGAAGAAAAAATTGTTTTTTTACTTTTTATTGCTACAACCCCATAAGCAGGTATTGGATACAGTTACATATACTGTATCTAAATTTACAAAAGATAAACTTCGTTGAATCAATATTTAACAAAAGAATTATTTTCAATGATATCGTCCCAAGAGATTTCGTGCTTTTGTTGCCGATGAACTGTAAAACAAGGTTTTAAGTGAATAAATAGTATCAAAAGCATGTAGATGGACAATATTAACATATGTACCCTCGTCTATGTATCTATCTCTTCCACATATTTTGATGCCTGACGTCATTTCTTCATTGCCAATACATCTTTTATAAGAAGATCTTTTTCGGGAATAACATCATTTACTTTGCGCCTTCTCACGACTATATTGGTCTTGTCTGTCAGTACATTCTCATCAACCACAGGTTCTGAAAAATAAGGTGATTATTAAATGCGTATCAACATGAAATTGTATTGTGAAAAATGCAACAATGGAAATTATTATCAAAAGTATTAGTAAAAAAAAGCATTGTCGGTTTTGTAACGAACGCTTAATTCATAAAGAAAAGAAATAATTAAATGAAAAAAGATAATCATTCTGTTTCTAAATGTTATTATACCATCAGTAATCTGTTGATGAGCTTTCATTATCGATTCCGTGTGATTCCGAATTTGGGTAACGTGTAGCATAAACGCAATACGTTCTATTCCAGCGAACTCAATAGTCTTCTCAATTTCAATTAGCTCCAATTTCTGCTCGGTATGGTAACGAGTCTCAAGCTGTTGGAAACAATCTGTTGTCGTTTCCATCTTTACAATGGTAGAACAAGAAATGACGTAAATTTTGCTTGGATAATACCAATTGCCCATAACTTTAAAATGACGAACCAATAGTCCCCATCTATGTGTCATGGAGGCCGAAGAGAAGGACAAATTAGTAGTCGATCTCCAAGATAATTAATAGTCTCCCGAGTCCATCATCTTGTAATACCTCACCAGAATTATAGCATCTGAAGAACAACTTTATGATATATATAATCCTATCCCAGTAATATGTCACATACTCAAAATTCTGATGTAAATGAAATGCTTTCTCATATACGTCTTCTTGAATATAATTGTTATTGATGATCTTCTCAAGTGCTTTTTTAATTTTATCACCCTTGAACTGCTCATATGAGCTACAATAATTAGCAAAAGCGCCAAGGTTCCATAATGTTGGTGAAGCAATCTGTAAATAGCCATAATTGTTTTTATCCTCTGTAGAGGTCTGTGAGACACAGCAGGGTTAGGTGATCGATGTGGCCGTAAGCATCGAATAATTTTTGTCGCTCCAAAAGGCACTCAACTATTCCATGCCTGCCTCTAAAAAAGATCCTGCTAAATATATTAGTGGATTAACTCCTGAAATTCGCGAGAGAGGTGTGGTCAAAGAATACGTTGTAGGTGAGTATTATCTTATGCACTTGAAAAAGAGAATTACGGAATATCAAGGTCTTGATGTAAACGAAAGACTCGAATCCCACACATTGAGAAATTTTGGATCCTCTAACGTTTATGGAAATGCGATTATAACCAAAGAGGATGAGAATATGGATGAGATCAAGGCTGAATGCTGAAAAAAAAGTGCCGAAAGTGCGAGTATTGCCCAAAAACCTGGAATATAAAAGTCACGTGAGATTCATTATCATATGATTTTACAATAGTTTTTATTTTAATAATATTAATTATTTTTGAACATATTTTTTAGCCTCTCTAAAACTCTGACTTGTTGTTTTTTTTTAATTCTTGTAAACTATCTAATAAGCGATCCTCCACTATAAACTTTGGTAATTGTTCTTGTTGTATATAAGTAAGGAGGTTTATGCAACTTTTCAATGCATCGTTAGTATTAATATGAATAATATTTTCCTCCTTCTCCTCCTTCTCCTCCTCCTCTTTTAGTTATGCTTTATAGCTTCATCAAACCAAATTGCTAGAGTTCTTCTAATTGTGGCCAATTTGCTTGCCGATTCTTTTTAAATTGAGAAGTTGAAACAGTTTCATCAACAGAAGGCCATTTGTTTGATTCTGATAAAATTACTGAAACTGTGCTTTGACTAATTTCAAAATCTTTAGCTAATTTATCTTGAGTTAAGCTAGGAACATTTTTAGCACACTTACATAGTTCTTTTTTTTTGCAAAGAACTTAAAGAACTTCTTTTTTTGGATGAAGGTTAATTATGATTTTTATTAATCAACGTTTTATTGTTTCGATTTTTTCAGTGATCGAATGTTTTTGATTGGTTCTCTCGTTATACTGACATGTCATTATAACGGGTGTCAGTATAAGGATAAATTCTATATTAAAATGAAAAATCATAATAAAAATAATAAAAAAAATTCCTTGTGATTCACGCCAAAAACGTTTTACTACATATCCTAACTTTCAAGAATTTGTCGATGCTAAAAAGTTATTTGTAAATGTGGTCAAATTATTTCACTTGAAGTTAATTATCAAGTGTTTGGGCAGTTATTACGTTTTATGAAAAATGTGGGCAAGGACATTCATGGGTAGAAAAGCCAGCAGGATTTTTAGATTATTTATCATATATTTCTATTAAGGCCATGCTGCAACAAAACCAGACAAAGTGAACATCGATATTACCAAGAATTTCAGGGATCAAAATTTAGTCATTTGTAATGTGATCATAATTAACAGTTTTATAATATGGGACATACTGCAACAAAACCAGACAAAGTGAACATTTATATTATCAAGAATTACAGGGATCATTTAACATCACTATTGTATTACCAATGTAATGTGATAATGATATTTGTCTAGACAAAAATAGTTAATATGAAGCTAATTTACATTAGGTCTACTATGGAACCAAAGAATTACAGCACCATTAGAAGTATTCTAAAAAAGGAACAAGGTGAAAAAATTGCACCTTACATTTTCAAAATAAATGATACTCAGATGCTGGAAGCTTATCTAAGAAAAGAAAGAATTGCTTATGAAATTTACCAAAAAGAAAGAAAAATAATAAATGTTATTTTTTCTTTCTAACCCCAACATTTTATGGTTAATTTTTTATTATTATTGTTTTAAATAATAAATAATGATTCTCTTTTATTAAATTTACTTGTGCTATTTGTATTGTTTTATATCTATGTTTATATCTATCTCTTGTTATAAAAAGAAAATATTAATTCTTTAAACTTATTGTTTTCGTCACCTACAATTTTGGAATTACTAATATTCAGTGTTGTACATGGGATATTCTTGGACATCTGCGGACAGTGAGTGCCCAAAACAAAACATGGAAAACATAATTCTATATTATGACAACCTGCTTTGGGCTATCAATTAAAAGCGTTCAGAATTGATTTTTACATATAGCTGTGTTTTTTTAGGATAGATTTCTAAGCTGGACAAGAATTCAGACATCTGTGGACACAGACACGGACAGTCAAAAAAGTCCACGGACATATAAATGTACAACTTATGAAAAAAAAAATAATAATAGTAATAGTTCAAACAGTAATTTTCTAAATTAATGAGCATGCAATGTAAACTATTCCTCGCACAGTTCTTTCAAACTTTTTTTTTAAACCACAAGTAATTTTTTCATGCAGATATAGTACTTGCTTTATAACTTCGGGTATAATGACTATACAAAGATAAATAATGATCAGATATATTTCTTTGAGGTCATGTTTAAATATATTATATATAAATTAGAACAAAACTCTCACTTTCTACTTCCACTTGTTGTATTGATCCTTTTATGTGGCTTTTCATTTCTACTTCCACTTAAATCATATTGTTGCATTGGTACTTTTATGGGACTGAGGAATGCAGCTTTTGTCATTTGCGTTTTCAATGATTTGGTAGGTGTAATCGTCTTTCTAACAATTGATTGATATGACTTAACCCCTTTGTCAACTAGTTCCTAAAATAAAAATATTATAACATAAACAA